GCTTAGGATTCAATTTCAAGAAGGAGCAGCTGCTGAATTATGATAATATCTTTCTCTGCGACGCACATCCCCACTTGTTCCACTGTTTCTTAGCCAGTGCAGTCTCATTTCCACATGCAGTGCCAGGACTCCTCTTTATTTTGGATAACCTGTTAAGTTTTCAGTTCCATGATTCTCTATTTTCTGCTTCATTTTTCTCTTTCTCCAATACTCATTTGATCTGCCCTTTTTAACTCTGGCTGCATGAACTTGGCATGAGCCCTGGAGCAAGGAGTAGGAAAGGACCGCTCCAGCATCTCCGTCTTCATCCCCAGACCTCTGCACTCACCTCTGCCTCCCTGAGTTCACCTTGCAGGAAGTGGTGATCCTACAAACACTGCACTTCACTTTGCAGTCAGTGCATGCCAATGAAAGCGTGGGCTTTTGGAGCTTAGAGCAGCCTCCAGCAGAACCTTTTTAAGATGGGGCATGTCGCACTTGTAGCTACCATATCATTGTCATCTGGTGTTGCCGCAGACTGCAGCAGGTAGGCAGCATAGCTAGGCATTGTTCTTCGTTTTTTTAACCAGGAGGTGGATCTCCTCCATGTTATTTCATCTTCTTTGCTTTTCCTGCCATTTTCACACAGATGCATGTGTAACCGAGGGCACTGCAGACTGGGCAAGACAGAATTTACTCCATTTATTCTTTGCTAAGTTCATGAACATCATAAAGCAGCCCAGGCTCTTTCTGCTGAGGCTTTTCCTTCTCTTGACAACTTGGCAGCATCACGGGCAGTCTCTGTGATGGTGGCCAGTGCCAGGAGTGTTGGGGGCCTAATAGGGGCAAAGAAACCTACAATAAGTTGTTAGCAAAACCTTTATGTTTATGCATTGGATCACTTTATATTTCTCATTTATTTCTCAGAACTGCACTTAGAGTTGGCATATAAGCTGGAGAAAAGGTTCCTGTGGATATAAATGTTGAAGCAAGTTTATTTTACTTATAGCTTGTTTTAATGTCCATTATTAAGCTACCATGATTGAATAGGTTAGACTCTATGTAAGCTTTGAGATTCTCATCCATAACTAGTTGGTCATAAAAACAAGGTTTCAGGACCGGACCTGTAGTACAAAGTGTCCCCTGTGGAGCGAGGCAAGAAAGGAGGGCACTTATTCCACCGAAACAGTTAACACTAAGTAGGTTTGACTATCTTCTGTGTTAATGTAAGGCTTTTTCTCCAGCTATTTTTAGTCTGTTCCAGCAGTGTGTCCCACTGTGGTCTGGTATGCAAGAGCTTTGCTGTGAGGTTTGCAAACACTTGTATTCCTGTGTTGTGAGAACAGACCATTTGTGTGTTACTGGAGCGTGTGTTCCTTCGGCGACTAAAAGGAAGGGCAGACCGTGCATGTGATCCGTGCACATGTTTATTGTTGCCTGTGAATAACCATGTACAGCAAATGGGCTCTGGAAGAAAGCTTGTTAGCAGATGTCGTCATGGCCCTTCCAATTTATAAATATAAGCCTTGACATTTATATTTTCCATATCCAGGGTTATCCTAGCCAGATGTTGAGAGGATTGGCTCCTTGGAGCCTTTAGCTATGACTCCTCATGGCATATTGTCTATCGCACAGCAAAAAAAATCTATTTCTGGCTCCCATCAAATAGATAAGGGAAAATGCACTGAGTACCAGCAGGTAAAGGGAATTCCTCCACATCTGAAAATGCACTTTAACACAGCTCTACAAAACTCTTTATGTTCACTCAGCTGAAAAATAAGTTGTCTGGTTCAACAGGCAGAGAAAATTCAATACACAGTAGCACTTCTACCCTGCTGTTTGGGGTGGGTGAAGAGCATGGTTTGTGTTATACTTGCAAGGCTGACTGTACTTGCAGACAGTGTAAAAAGCGCTGCGTGGGCTCATGCCCAGGGTGAGCTGTATTCCGTAAACACAGCAGTGGATAGTAAAGCACCTGTGCTCCCTAAATTGCTGTTCTTGATGCAGATTTTTACCTTCAGCAAGTGTGTTTTCCCTATCGAGCAGGGTGGTGGCCAGCTCCACATTCAGACTCCCACCTCACAGCACTACTCAGCTGACAAAATGTAGCTGTTTCCATCTTCAGAGTGAACCGAATTGCTCCCTACATTGGTACAGCCAGCACTGACCCCTTAGGGAGGTTGGACCCTTGTGCACATGAGGTTTCATAGAATCATAGAATGGTTTGGGTTGGAAGGGGCCTTAAAGCTCACTCAGTTCCAACCCCCTGCCACGGGCAGGGACACCTTCCACTAGAGCAGGTTGCTCCAAGCCCCATCCAACCTGGCCTTGGACACTGCCAGGGATGGTGCAGCCACAGCATCTCTGGGCACTCTGTGCCAGCGCCTCAGCACCATCATAGTGAAGAATTTCTTTCTACTCTTAATCTAAAATCTACCCTCTTTCCATTTAAAGCCATTCCCCCTTGTCCTGTTACTACATGCCCTTGTAAAAAGTCCCTCTCCAAGGTCTGGAGCTGTTAAGGCAGGAGCAAGTCATTTCCTCACTGCTCAGGCTATGGAAGTGGCAGAGATCCATCCATGCCATAGCTTCTCCTTGCACTCCACCTGTCAGGGAGAAGAGTTGATAGAGTCAGCAGAAAAGCTGGGTTTGGGTTGAAGATGGGACCTCTGAAAGGACACTGCTTGCTCTGTTGATGGCTGTCTGCCTCTCTACCCTAGGGATACACAGATGTGGTAGGAGATTAGTTACCATCTAAAAGCCAGAACAAACCTTCTTCTCAAACACTACAACCTTAAGCTGGACTTACTGTATATTTGAGTGATATTCATATCCAGCAGTATCTAAGCACTGAAAGACTGCAGACCTGCTATTCCCCAAGGTAAAGCTGTAGACTTACCAGAGCTACATAAAATCCATGAAAATGTCGAAAACTTCCTCCTCCAGTGAGTTACCATAATGAAAAATAAATGCCTTTAAAATTCAGTGGAAATGCAAACACACAACAGTGTCAATGCCAGCCCAGAGGAATAGGATAAGGGATGTAGGATTTACTTCTGGTTCTGCTATTCCCCTTCTGACTAGTGAGTGTCACACCCTGTGAAATTAAGTGAAGAAGAGTATGAGAGGGAGGAAGATGACATTATTGTTGTGGTGGGCAGTTAGTTTATAAGAGGGATTTACCCACAGTTATTTTGTGGTAGTGGGTTTATCTAAGAAGTCAGATTCATTGTAGAGTGAAATGGGAGGAAATCTGATTCTCTGACAGCCCCAGCAGGACAGGCTGCGCTGTGTGCTGAAAACCCAGCAGGACTCCAAAGGGCGGCTGTGGTCCAAGTCCAGTTACTCACTGGGATGAGGGAGAAGTAGGATTTATTTAAATTCATATGGTTTTAATGCTATAAAAGCTGGGTTCCTGCAATTATGAAAATGCCAGGCCAAATTCCGACTTCACTCACATCTCCTCCTTACAATTCCTGAATAACTTAACTGAACAAAGTAAGCATTATACCTTGCGGCTTGGGCCCATGATAGGGGAAAGCAAGGGAGCCAAGCCTATTGCCTGTTAGCTGCTGGGTGTCAGGGATGCCTCACGTTAGCAGTACCGTGGAGGGACATGGTGCAAATGGTCTTCACAGAAGCTCAGTTCTGCAGAGACACTTCAGGATGAGGTTCTGACATCCAGGTTTTGCAGCCTTTCCAGTCCCACAGGACAGCAAGCAGCTTTTCATGACCAGGCTGTCAGATGGTTTGGAAGTGCTTGGGCAGAAGGAGTTTGTGCTGTGGCTGGTATCGCTGTAGTTGCTTTGCGAGCAGCCGGAGGAACGCAAACCTTGTAGGCAATGAAGCAGCTTGATGTCCTTGGCATTTCTGCATGGTAGATGTGCCCTATGAGCCTTCCTCCATTTTGCAACTGAGTCTGTTGGAAAGGAAAAGAAGCCAATGCTTTTATTCAGTGGAACAAGCTTGAACTTAATCCTGCTCCAAATAACAGGTTCAAAGATCTGACCCTATCTTAATTATTCCTACTAAGTGAGACTGTGGAAAAATACAAGCAGGAAAGTGAGCCCAGTGCATTAGAGAGAAAAATGTGATACAGACTAAGCGGAGAGAAAAACTGTTACATGGGGATGGAAAAAGAACAGGGAGAAGGGAAAAGAAAATTAAAATCAAATGGAAAAATGCAGCATATTGGACATCCATTTAAGCCAGTTTATGTTTTCGTTGTTCTTTCTGTTCTTTAATACATTGCACAAGCATCTTCTTAGTTGAAATAATTGTGTCTTGGAGAAAACACTTAATTTGACAGGACGTTCTAGGTATTTCCCCACTATTGCCTATTCTAAATAATTTTAAAATCTAGAGGGGAAAGTTGATACCTTTTACAGTGTTTAGCAAGAAAGTGACAGGGTCAGCTATATACGTCTCTATGAATGTATGTGTTCCCCAAGCACATCTAAACATGCATGGTTAGTTCCATGCATCTGCAAAAAGTATTTGGGCCATAGGGCCCACACAATGCCAAACAAATATTTGAGTGCACGTAGGAGAGGGCAGATCGAATCACTCTGGTTCTAATTAATCAAAAAGTTGAGCCCAAGACATAAAATATGAGTTATGATTTTGACCACTCCAAAAATGCATGTGGGGCTGTACTGGGGAGAGCAGGCTGTTTGCATAATACAGATAAAAGGTAGATATTCTGCTCATGCTTGGGATCTGGTTCAAAACCACCTGATTGCAGCACCATCAAATGAACTCTTTACATGTTGTATATCAACAGGTTACTCAAAAATCTTCACATCTTGCATCACTGGCAAGACTTTTACAATACAAAGCCCATCTGTGTATGCACCCTTGATGTTCTTGCTTACTTTGGCTGTAAGAACGGCAGTCATTATCTGTCCAAGGACCAGTGAAACAAGCACTTGGTTACTTGAGCCGTGATGATGAGTGCCTTAATTGCACATAGAAATCAGGTACACAGCCAGATGTGTGCGGTGGGTGGGGGGTTTGTGGATGTTTTTGAGCCCACATCACTATTTAGACTATCATGGACACATCCTGGCTCAGATGTCAGTGCAGAACTGGTGAAACAAAGGGCTCTGAGCTATCCCATCTTAGCAAGGGCCAGGCCCTGGGTAAAACTGGGATGCATTATCCCGGCTCTGTGATTGCCTCGTCCCAGTGCAGAATCGCAGGGGGATATTCTTAGGATATTAGAGAATCATCAAAGCATTTCTTAGAAGGGCAAAGGAAAGAGCTAATGTTGTCATCTCCTGCCTCAGGACCACCCAGACACTCTGCAACAAATCATGGGTCTTCAGCTACAGTATCTTGAATTACTGTTCACAGGGATTTGAAAGAATTTTTTTTCCCTCTTTTTTTCCTTTTTTAAAAGGATGACATGTAGTTTCCTGATGGGCTGGTTTTAATAAGGTCGAAATCTTTGTTGTTGCCAAATCAGAGAGGAATATAACATCTTTAAGTCATTAAATGGGAATGGGGTAATTACTCAGAGGGTGTGCTTCAAAGGTTATTGGTTTTTACAACGCTCTGTGTTTTTACACCATTCTGCAGTTGTCTGGAAAGGAGTGGAGGGCCTGATTCTGCCACTGCCACATGGTTGGGTGCAGGACTTGTATTTGCAAGGTTTCCTGAAGGGCTTCAGGGCAGGAGGCTGAAAAGGGCCATACACAGCCTCCTCTGGGGATGGGGGAAAGCTGGAGCCTGACTGTGAGGTGCAGTAAACATTCCTGCATGTTGGAATTTCACTTAAGAAAAGGGCCCTTGGGCTATGCTGGAGTTGTTTCTCACCTGCTCCTTCCCTACCTGCTAGGTGCATCCTTATGTCCACCTTCACGTCACTATATCCCCATGCCTGGGGGACCTTCAGGCTGCATTGCTGTAACAGCAAACTGTTGCTCTTACCCCTGTCTCTGATGCAGCAGTCTCCACTGCCCCCATCCCATACCTTCCCTTCCATCCCATCCCCATCCCCATTTCTTCCTCTGTCCCCACAGCAAATAACACGCTTTGCCATAACAACGCGCCTTTGTGATGTTCCTGTAGTGCTCAGCCTCACTGCAGGTTGGTGTCACTGGGGGCTGAATTTGACATCATGGAGGTATTTTGCAGGTGGCCCAGGCAATTGGGAGCTGCAAATCACAAGGAGAGCCTGCAAAACACTTCACTTTGGGTTAATGCTGCTGGTGTCACGCTAACGCTTCAGGGTCTTGACTCAAATCAGAGTCGGGGGAGTGATAGAAGTGAAGTGATTTAACACGGTTTTGATGGTGGCTCGGTGGGTGACACAGGGGTGAAAATCAAATCTCCCAGCTGCGTTTCAGTGTTGAGCCTCCTCCTGCTTACACCATTATGGCCCCCCTCGAGACCCTGATCCAAGTGAGCCACCTTCTCCTCCTTCATGTCGCTCAGAGCCAAGACCCCATAGAGGGGCCAGCAGGCTGCTGTCCTGCCGTGCCTGTGACTGGGGGGCTACTCCACAGCCACAGAGGGGAGCTGCATCCCCACCAGCTACTGCTTTTCTTCATTGCAGAATCAGCAGTTTTCCTCTTCCCCACCTTGTGGCCCCATCCCAGTTTAGGAACCGATCCTTACCAGTCAAAGCTCTCACTGGGGCAAGAGCTTGGCTGGGGTTCAGGAGACCTGAATTCCAGAGATAGAGATCTTCAGAAGCAGCTCATCTCACCCACCTTAGAGACATGCCTTTGGGGGGAAAGGATTGTCCTCTGGAGACGTTTTGTTCTTCATGAATACAACAGAATAGCTCTGACTACAAGCCTCCATTTGACATAGCTACAGTGATCTCATCCTTTAAATCCTGCTATAGACCAGGGCATCTGAAGGACTGCCCTTGACTCTGATGGCACCCTCTGCAGGTGCTGCTGACAGCCTGGTTGCTGCATGTTCGGGAGGTGAAGGTGCCTCACATTGCTTCCCTTCAACCCCCCAAGCATTCCATCCTTGTGTGCAGTGTCCTGCTCACCACCACCACCACCCTTCCTGCACTTCAGTACACAGTGACAGTGTGGCTGAGGGTCCTGGCATGATAGTTCACGGCTTTCTGCCCTTTCAAAGCCAATGCCTGGTGAACCTTGTGCTTCCCTTTCCCTCTTTTCCTTCCATATCCTCTCCTTTTTCCTAGAGATAAGCCATGGCAGACATGGTCCTAACAAGGAGCAGGGTTGGAGGAGCAGACCTGTATCTGCAAACATGCACTGCCCTTTGCCCCTTTTGGGGTCAGAGGTTCACTGATGCCCACTTTAAGGAGGGGAACTGCTTGCTGTCAGTCTCCAGAAGAACCAAAGCATTGAAATAAGGCTGGATCAGAGCTTGACATTCCTCTCAGGTGGAAAGATGGTTCCTATTTGAATCTCATCAGAGGGAAAGCTCAGATCAACAGCGATGGGTTGTTGAAATGCTCCTGGTGTGGTTACCTGATCCCTCTATTGACAGCGTGGCTGCAGCTGCCTCACAGAGGGTGGATGCTTGCAGTGTGGGAAATGGCCAAAGATCTGGGCTCCCAATAACCCTGGGGTAAAGGGAAACTAGCAGAGATAAGGCTCTTCTTTTTTGTGGCTCATCCCATCAGCCACAAACCAGAGTGTGATATTGGTTACTTGTTCAGACATGCAAAGGCAGTTTACTACACTACTGCAAATAAGCAGTGGCCTCCTCTGGTCCAAAACTGGATTCCTTAATCGGATCCAGATTGGATTATTGTTTCTTTTTTAATGAACTGAACCTTGCGAGACCATGAGCCTCTTGGCCTTGTTCCCACAAAGGACTTCAGGACATGCTGAGTTGTAGGTATGTGAAAACTAGCCTTGCTGGAAGAACTCATGTGCTTGCAGTGCTTAGCATCCTGCTAGTTTGAGACCCAGAGACTCAGCATCCTGCAGGATTTATCCCTCAGGCTGCAAGAACAGTGTCCATAAAGAAATCAGTGATGGAGCCTGGGGGGAATGGAGCCTATGCTGATCTAAAGAATACCTTTATGGGATGTCCATATGGACATATTAAATAATAGCCTGAAATTTTCATATTTATTTCATATAAATATGTCCATTATGTAACAGGCACATTAAATAATAACATGAAAATTTCAGGACGTAGAGACTTCACATTCCCTGTAAGAAGTTACTCTTAAGGTTAAATCCTTGTGAGTTATTTCTAGTATGATTCCCCCTCTGTCCCCTTCATGCTCCTTTTCCTCTTGGTTGAGCACCTATTCTTTTCTCTCATACCTGTGGTCAGGCTTGTTTCCAGCCAGCTTGTTTACGTACTGCAACGGGTTGGTTCCAGAGCAGATGTATTTTTCAAGTCTTGATGGATAATTTCTGGTGACATAAATAGGTCTGGTTAGTTCCAGGAATAATTGTCTTCACTAACAGAACATTAGTTTTGATCACCAGAAAAATAATGTGATCAACTCTCACATCTGTTCATTAAATGAAGGGGGGGGGGGGGGGGGGGGGGGATGGAGAATAGGGCAAAATTTGTTTGAAAAGAAACAGGAAGCATATGCTTAATATCACTTAAGAAACCCCTAACCATCATAAGGTTAACATCAAATCTCAAATGCAAAACAGCCATTATTGTATTTACTCAAAAGTTTTCTTTCGGTTTACTAGCTCTGTAGGCATTCAGTTGAAACATGCGTTTTTTCAGGGTTCAATCTCTGCTGGCACGTTGTCTTGATAAGCTTCTTTCATCAGATGCTGTTGTAAGAAGGGCTGTCTCAGTCCACATTTGTTTACGTTTATTAAAAATAGTTGTCATGTGTTTATGTAGGTCCTTTGATCCAGAAAAATCCCCAAACACTTTGTAAGTTCTGCTTGAAGGGGTCACTTCCTCCTCCCTGAACAGAAACCCACGTTTGGACTGAGGCGAGGCACCAGATTAAAAATGTATGGAAATACCACCATTATTCGGTCAGTCCTCACTGCCTCGGAGCGCCATCAGTTTTCCAGGAGCTTCAGAACAGTTAACCATAAAGGCAGCTTGGACTTTAAGGGTAAAGAGTGGTGAAAAGACCATCTTCCTTCAGATGGCGTGTTTTTCATGCACTTTCTTCTGCTCTGCAAATAAAGAACCAGTGGTACCTACTGCACAAAGCATTGGGCTGGCAATATCTCAGCTAGAGCTACTGTTCCCAGTTGAGGGCATCTATCTCACTCCAGTGAATACTGAGCAATTAGGCAGAGCCAGAGGAGAGCAGATGAAAGAATGAGGGAAGGAACCTGAGGACTTGCAAAGAAAAGCAGAGGAAACTGTTTAAAGGAGAGAAAACTAAGGTGAAACATGGTTAAGTCTTCAAAGCACATGGAAGGATGCTGAGAGGAGGAAAGGAATAACGCTGTCCATGGGGACAGGAGAAGTCACAGACTTGCGCTGTAGCAAGGGAGATGATTGGTGAAACATCAGGCAGTAATTCTGGACGTCAGGAATGGTGAAATGCTGGGATAGATGTCTGCAGAGACTCTGGAATTGCTATCATTTCCACACAGGATTTCTTTGAGACTGGATTAGACGTAAATGTGAGGAGGTTTAGCTCTTGCTCCTGTCTTTGGGGCAGATGGGCCAGAAAGCCCCTCTTGGTCCTATCTTCTGCCATACCACCACATGTGGTCAGATGAGCTTTGCTTATATGAATAAACCAAGTCATGATAAAAATTAGTTTGTGAGCTCCTTGCAAAGTCCTCACGAGCTAAACCAGAGCAGAAATTCCCCCAAAGGGTTGCATGTGCGTTCGTTTTATTTTCCAGTTTTAAAGTGCTCCCAAATCATGGAGGTGCTCCAGCATGCCCCCAGCATAGAGAACTTGAATCATGTAATTGGATTCAGTGGGGTCTGTTGACAAAGCCTGTGCCTGAGGCCCCGTTTCTGGGGAAAGTTTTACACGTCCTAATGATAGTAAGACAATGTATGACTAATGCACTGATTTGAAAATCTGATCAAAAGTACGAGCTCATGAATATGATACCGCAGGTCATTTGGCTAAAAGATACCTGGAGCCTTCCAAATTCTTAAAACGATCCCATACACAGAAGCGAAAAAGAGAGGTATGAACAGAGGAACCAGTGGTTGCCTGTTCACCACGGATCGTGTGGAATGTTTTGTTAAAGATATTTTTATCAGACACGAAAGACTGAAATGCAGAATATCCTGAGCTGGCAAGGGGAGGCGTGATAATAATTTAGACTATTATCCCTCAGATCTGTGAGTGATTTATATTACTCTTGATGTTCATTTCAGGAATGCTCAAAACTTCCTTGAGGACAGCGGAAGGTTTCCAGTTGAGTTCAGGGGGCTGCTGCTGCTTTAGTCCTTAGGGAGGGATGGGGGTCAGTGAGATCCTACATGCACAACCAGACATGCTCAGAGGGAGTTTGGGGAAGAAGTTGTCTCCTGACACCAGAACCACCTCTAAGATTAGGTTGTAATCTAACCTGGCTGTCCGTAACCCTAGGAAGATAAGGACCCTAAGCAAGAGTAAGTCCCCCCTAGAGACCTGGACTGGAATGAGGTGGACCACCTTCTGGAGAGGTTTCTCTTCCCATTCAGTATAGAAACAGCCTAGTCACAAACTTAGACCAGAGGTTTTACAAGGAGTCTCGTAGCATTTGGTAAAAGGGATCATTCTCTTCAAACACCTCTAAACCACGCTGCCAGTTGGCTAGAAGTAGAGTTGCATTTGAGAAAATGCCTTACATGGATAAACTGTGATTCATTTGCTGTTAGCATGCTTTGTACACGTTAATGGAAACACACTGTTCTTCTCTTATAAAGCACTTAAGGATTTCTTAAAAACAAACACCCCCACCTAACAGCATTTTACCTTGACAAAGACACCTTATAGAAATCAAATGTCTTGAAAACAGAAAATTATCTCACTGACTGAGGAGAAAGGTGGTCAAAAATTCTCAGGTCTTTCAGGTCTTGTAAGTAAATTGGGAGTGGGGTGGTTGTTCCCCCCAAAAGTACATGTTTTCAAGGAAGAAATAATAATAATAATATGGTTCTGGCAGTTGACTAGAAAATGGAAACATCATATTGAAGTGTAAAATGTTGATTTAAGGCTGCTTTAGGAAGCGCTTAGATGCAGTTGGCTGATAAATGGGCTCATGCTTCTTCCAGGGTTTCCCTGGCCAGCTTGTGTCCCCCACTGAGCATCTCACACAGTGCATCCCTTAGGTGCAGAAAGGCAGTTTGCACTAGGGACATTTCAGTCATCTCACTGGAGGATCAAGCCTAGAGAATGTGTCAGAAGCAGGGTATTCCAACTGCAATTCTGAACAGCATTTTGGAAGTGTTTTTTAAATTGACATTGGAAAACAGACCCTTCTTGCTGTTTAAAACGTAATTTAGGGTTAAATGATGTAGTTCTGTAAAAATGACAAACAGTAACGAAAAGATGAGTACAAGCACGTACCCACACTTACCTTAGGGAAAACTGGTACAGGGAATATCCCCCGAAACTGTGATCCCACGGTCAGTGTTGGCAGGTCTGTGTACCACAGCATCACTCAACAGGATAAATGAGATCTGGATCAGAAGTTGGAGCATGACTGCATTTCTGTTGAATTACACAGAGCATTTAGTACCTAGTTTTCTTAGAAATATGCTTTAATGATGCTTTGTATTCACTGTAGGAAGACCATTCATACTTACATTACATATACCACTGGAGCTTGGATACAGAGTGCCTAATCTGGTATCATTCTTGACAGCACTAAATTAGCTGCTCAAAAAAGCTGGACCAGTTTTAAACAGCAGCATCAGCTTATCCCAAATCAACTCTTTGTATTAAGTGACTGCAGTAGTTTTGATGCAGTACAGAAGAAGCTCTAAAGCTATGTGTCTTGCATCATCAGTTCAAGACATAAACCAACAGCTCACCACAGGAATTTAGATAAGAGCTGTCTCAAGCAAGGCTTGCTTTCAGAATTCTCTCTTTACAGAAATTTGTTCCTCTGGAACAAGCACCACTTCTTACTGTCAAAGTTCTAATACTAGTTAGATGGATTATCTACTCGCATGAAGTAATTCCCATGTCTTTAATTCAAGGCTGCCTGTTTTTTTTACTCTTAGTCATTGCACATTAGTTAAGATCACTTCTAGCTGCAGAACAACTATCCCACCCAGAAAATGTGGTGACAGTATAAAGGTTGAGGGAAGAAATGAATTTAATTATCCCCAAACCCAGTGTGAAGTGTAAGGTGCAGTGATTGACTATTGGATTTGATGTAGACCCACGTGTGTGTGTATTTACCAGTATTTACTGTCCTGGATGGACTCGGATCTCTTCACAGTTTGTGGTTGACTGAACACATTTGAAGCATCTGAGCTAAAAGCCCTCTCTGGTGTTGCTTAGACAGAAAAAAAAAAAAACAAAAGCTTTCAATGCTACTAAATCCTATTACTGTGTGTGATTCTAGAGCAAGGTATTGTTCCTTTTATCTGATACTAGGCAAGATGCAGCCTTTTCTTCCAAGGTCAGCATCTCAGATACCAGAGCTAATTATTTAGAAAACTGCATAGCTTCTTATCCCATAAGAAATTATTTGGCAGTCATTTTTAGTGCCTCCAAATCCTTTTTATGGAGCATTCATAAAGTAACATAAGACAATCTGCAAGTATTAGTGTCGCATCTTGTTTTGAGGGGAACCTGTCTTTTCTGTCCTTGCTCCCCAGCAGAATGCCTTGTTTTTAAGTCCGGAATGCACCTTGCACATTTTGCATGTTTGGTTGTGCTGCTCTGTGACAACCAGCGGATTATGGATCATCCAGTAATGGATGCAATGGAAGCATTTTATGAAATGGAGATTACGGCTTAAAACTTCCAAATCAATTGTAAATGGACCTTTTTGACCTACAGCGTCATGGGAATCATGATGAATTCCAACCTGCAAATTCAGATCAAAGTACTAACTCAAGCTACAATCAATAAGCAATCGCACCACTGTTGAAGCAGATGCACAGGGAAACCTCACACTGAGTCTGGTTTTGGCATTGTGATTTAATTCAAAATGTTCTAAAGCCAGGAGAAAAGAAATGAGGCTGCTTTGTCTCCTGTGCTCAAGCTTATCACTTGTGGAAGGGGATCCTGAGAAGTTCTTTATGGCTTGTGAAACAGGGAAAGGACATGTTCTGTATCCCCTCCTGTACTTAGTATCCAGTCCATGGTCAGACAGTCATGTCTCTGAGACTTGACTAATTTTCAGACCTATGGTGGCAAGAAGGTACCTAAGAACATAAGAATGATGTCATCCTGGGTCAGCATAAAGATATGTTTATCACAGTCTCTGATGCTGACCAGTAATGCTGAAAAAAATGAATGCAATATGTTAGACGTACCAAGAGTGATGCCTCCTTTGGCTGTATTCTACCAACAGGCAGAAGCTGAATCAGCTGTTTCTAAATCATCACACTTACTAGCCCCTGGGGCTCTCCCTGCATGTCTAATGTGTGCAAACAATAATAATAATGGTGATTGTCATTGTTGTTAATACTACATAGAGTGACAGCTCACAGAGTTTAATTTCCTTCTCTTGTGTTTTCTCTTAGCACCACCACGTTGCCTTCCTATATCAGGATAACCAATGGCTACATCACAGTCAAACCTCCCATTTGGATTTCAAACCAGCTGGATCAGAGACCACGTTCAGATCACCCATCCCAGCCTCAGCCTACAAGCTCAGCTTCAGCCAGCCTTTTATGGCCATCAATAACTTCTCTGCTCTGCGTGGCCATAGCTTCTTTACTCCTGAATCTACTGCAGCCTTCCTGACCACATTAGTATTACTTGCAATCCCGTGGAATAGAGAAGAGAGATAATTTATGAACGAATTGGAGGTTAAGACAACAGTTACAATCTGGACCTTCTCAGTGACTCAGTAGTGCCTTCTAGCTGATTTTGTCTCTTTGCCCAGATACATTTTGAAACTCTAAAGCTTTATTGTAACACTGACTTACATCTTCTTTTTGTAGAAGGATCTTTATTTCCCATAGTGCTATGGGGTTTTGTAAAATACACATGTTCATATAAAGAAAAAAAAACACAAAAAAGAAAAAGAAAAAATGTATTTATTCGACTGGTAAACTTATTTTTCTTGTTGTATATGTTAATAACATCCCTATTAATCAGTAGTGATGGTGAAACAGATAAATTAATATTTTCTATATTTGTTTTCTGACAACTCTGCAAATGTCTGAACTGACACCAGGTGAATGCCGTCTTTCTTTCTTTAACCATTACCTTTTACAGCAGCTGTTCAATAAGTACATTTCTGCTAAACTTCTTTATTTTACTTTCTTTTATCTCATTAACATAGTTTACACTGAGTAAAGAAGGTCCTGCTCTCTGTGGCCTATGCCCATTAGAAAAATAGGTGCATTCCTAACTCGTTAGCTGCTCCAACCTAAAATACCAGTTGTTTTTATATGACTTCATAAGTCATTAGTCAAGATAACCCTCTAAATTCTGCTGTTATCCTTAACTAAACTATTTAACGTCTTTGGAAATTACCAATTTCCCTCTTTGCCCTGGGATTAATTCATTAGCTAACACAAATGAAGACACCTTTTTTCTTAATAAAAAATTGCTTTTGAAGTCTGTAATATTCCCACTGGAATTATGTTCTTCTCTCCCTCTTTTTATATAAACACAAACCTAGAACCTTTCCCAGCGTAAATGAGGATAGAACTTGGTCTGTCTGTAGGGTATAAAGATGTAGTGCCCTGTTTATCTGTAGAACTTTGAACCACTTGTATTAATGCAGATGGACAACCCAGAGGGCAAAAAAAAAATCTAGATTCCTCTTCATCTTGCCGTTGTGATGCTTAGAGTTGGTATTTCCATGCTGAATTATGACTTGTCCAAAATCTGTTCAAGAGCACAGGAGTCCAATGAGCCCTGTGTCTCTGTATGGAGACACCTAGAACATTCCTCCGTTTTGTAGCCTATGGTACCTCTACTGACTTAGATGGAAAAGTTACGACACCTTGTGCTCACTGAAAGCAGCTACTTTTCATGAATGTGATGAATATGGGAAGAAACCCATGTCCATCTTAAAAACCATTATGCTGTTTAATAAGGTTGATTTTTTCTTTTCCCCCAACAAAGCCTTATGAAAAAATCCCTTTGGATGCAACAGTTTCAACCAGAGAAGTAATTTTGCTTGAAATAGTGTTTTTCTTTCTAGGTCATCTACAAACCAACAATCCCAAATATGTGATGAAAACATCAGAGTTAAAAAAGACTCGAAAAACAGAAAAATACAAGGCAACATTTTCCTTACAAAAAAGCAGTGCTTTTTCACCTTGGAAAAAAAAAAATCAGATTATAATGGTTACAATAATACCGATTAAAGGCTGACTGAAAACCATCATGTCAGTTTCCCACCAGCCCTACAGCCTGGGCTCCAGGATTGCAGATGGTTCCATGCAATCTTCAAGCCTGCAGTGAGACATAGCTTAGGAGTCACAGTTTGTTTGTTGTCATACCAGTTAATTCATGTAAGTAGGTTAAAAAATAATTAGACAATAAAAAGCACATAGTTTATTCACATCCATGATGAAATACTGAGCTTTTCCATCCTTCATCCAAACTCACTGTCTTGCAAAGGCTGGGAGAATACAGATAACTTCTTTCTGACTTTCATGACCTCCAGCCTTTGCTCTGCTTCTCACAGAAAGTTGTGCAGGTTTGTGGTCAATCTAAGTGAATACAGCAGACAGTGCTATAAGCTACCCTTATTTTATTTCAAGCACAACCATTGATAAGGGTGAACGGAAAACTTTGAGCTTTGCCCCAAACGTGAGCTTCAAGCACACCCTGTGCATACTTTTATATTGTGTATTTTGGCTAGCAGAAGAGTAGAGATGTTAGTTTTGGACAGAAGCCATTCACCTTGCATAATATTTATTGCACAGGGCTGGATATTGGAAACATATTTTGAGAACTTTCATTTTGGTTTTATTTGAGCTATTACCCTAGAAATGCCTTCATTTGAATATAATGGCTTAACAGACCTTGAAATTCAACATTAATGCATTTATAAAGGTGACTGGTTCTCCTGATGTATTCAAGACAGAGATCAGTACTGAATTATAATGTCTTATTTGCAAAAATTGAAATGGAAATAAGGTAGGCCAGTCTTAAGGGTGATAAGTTACATAGTAAAAGTGAACAGCCAACAAACCAAAACCCATTGGATTTTGTTTGTTGTAATCTGATCGAATCCAGAAATGATTCTGTGGTACCATCCCAGAAATAATTCCAGTTGTTGGAAAACTTTTACAATGTAAATAGAAAAGACCACATAAAGATAAGGGAGAGAAAAAAGAGCAGAAAACCACCAACAGCACCAAGACTAGAAATTACAATTCTGTCATTTCCCAAACTGTGACTTTCTCCATAAGCCTCTGGGGCTTTCTTAATATTAGGAGCACACAGATATCTCCACACTCACAGCTGTAGTTACACTGCACAGAATAGTCACTGTTTGTCACCAATGGGGCTTTTTCTCTGTGTCGCTCCTCGACTGGACAGTAATACTCAATATTCAGTAGCTCAGCTACCATGGTATGTTTGGCTATCACAGTATGTAAATAGCTTGGATATCAAAGTATGTTTTAACTTATATACATTTCCTGGCATTTTGTCCATAATTCCATGACATGAATGAATGTGCTGGAGTGCACCAAGCTCCCTGAGTTTGTCATACTGCAGTGCAGGTGTCAAAGCAAGGTGACTCCTGGCTTTTGGGGTGCACACACCTGACTTCTGTCACCTGAAAGCATTTAGGTTACTTGGTCTTATGATGGTCTTCTTTGAAGGAGAAGACTTGCAATAAATACAAGCTTAAGTAGCTCCCCTTAGATCCCAGCTCAGGAACCCCACGTGAATGGGTTCAGCACAGCTCTCTAAGCAAACATGTATTCTGTTGTCTCTACCCTAAAGCACAACTTAGGGTAAAATTTCTTTTTCAGTACATGGCATGTAAGCATAGCAATGCTGGAAAATGAGACCCTCACTGTGATTGATAAAATGGATTATTTATTAATCAGCTACAGCGGCCCTATTAACTAAAATACCCTAATGCTGGTTAGCACAGATCTCTGCACATCCATTGCTGTGGATCATGATTATATTCACCATGAGTTTATAAAACGTGTGCATCAGATTTGATAGATGCTCTTGAAGTAACACTGACTACTGGCTTCTTGGGACTTCAGTTTTCTCTATGGGTTCCTTGGAAAACGAGGAACCAACTGCTTCCTTTCTTCCAAAGGACAGCTCAGATTCCATGTAATCACAAGATTCCAGGAGCAGGAGATTTAACAAAATACACATTTTATATAAATATATATATATATGTATATATATATGCCCAGTATATATAATGGTAAACATCAGTGATTGATTGATTGATAGGATTTACCTCTGAGAAGCACAATCAAGAGACTCATGCAATGTCTAACAATCAAGACATGATTTTGGATGAGTCCAAAGCTGAATGTTCATATGATTCATCTTTTTAACTCAGCTACAACTGACACCAATACAATTCACTTTATATGTAACTGTAACATTATAAACGAGTACTAATTATCTGCCAAGCTCTTGCCCTGATGGAATAAATATTCCATACCACCAGCAACAGATCTAACTTCCACTCTTCCGTTGTTTTAATGCTTTTCTTGCTTATGTTTAAGTACAGATGCTATATTAACATGCACTGCCACTTGGAGAACCAGTTAGTAAGCTGGGACAGAAGGTATTTTATATTTTATGACTGATGTAGTTCCTCTGCAATCCCTCGGGCTGTTGAATAATGCAATACCTCTTCTGGCAATAAATGATAACATGATTTATGATAACTATGCTTTATACAGGTGTCAAAATCTGCTTTGTTGAACTTCCCTTCCCATTCCTCCAAGATCCAGTGTAATTTAGGAACACCCAAGGTACAGAGCTGTATATTTATTTAAGTTCTTCAATATACAATTGTGGAGAGAGAGATGGAAAGAGGGAGAACTTAATCTGTGTTTAGTGCATTGATTAGTTGAATGATATGACCCAGTCATTACCATATACCACTGTTAGGGAGGAATTTCCCATCATATATTTATGTTAGAGAAACCAAAGTGCCAAAGTTATTATCTCAGCATAAATGTTAGCATTCCAAACTTTGCTTAGTACCATATTCCTATATTATATCCAAAAAGTATATGGGCTTGTCATATCTCTGAAGTGATCAATGTCCCATGGAGTGCTAGAGTTCAGCTTCGATTTAAGCTTGTTTCAGCTTAACTGAAGCAGAAAGTTAATTGCCTAATTTTGAGATCATAGGGTGTATGTATGTGTGTGTGTGCTCATGCACATGCGTGCATGTGTATGTGCGCATAAGCGTGTTGTATGCATGTGTTTTATCCCACCCCAAATGCACCCTTTCCTCTGACTGGCTTTTCAGGAGGCACCTTAATCTAGCTAAAGGCAGAGAGGTCTTTCCAGTAAGTAGTCAATACTGTTCTTCTATAGGAAGGATTAACCATCCCGCAGGTTCGTGCTCACACTGAATTTTAAATGGCATGTTTTGTCAGTTTTCCATTCAAATACATTTCAGATATTTTGTCCCTGTTCTGCCTCCTGCTTTTGTGAACTGTTTTGAAGAGTGTAATAAAAAGATGCTTTCTAATATTATTTTATCAAAATATTTTTGTAGCATAATATATTAATAAAATGTTATTATAAATCCATAGCAAAAGAATCTTGTATGTCTAGGTTCTTTTCTTTGCACTAAAAGACAGGGAATCATCAAAGGGCAACATTCAGTTTGTAGAGCTTGTGCATGCTGCTTCTCTTTTGCCCAGGAACACCATGGGATGGAGGAAATCAGCCTCTGGGGAAGGTTCCTTATAAAATGATGTGGTTTTGTCAAGTCCCTTCCTGCAGAGATGTGGAAACTCTTTTTATTGGAGAGCATTTGCTGCCCCTGGCATGTAACAAACCTAGAGCAGCCTCAGGGTTGGATCTGTGTTGCTCAAACGAAGCCACTGGTTAACCTCATGGCATGCTCTGAGTGGGGCTTGGGCAGAGGGAAAGGCTCCAAATGGCAGATACAGGACCTGAGAGATGTGCTTGCCTCCACCATTTCAAAGGCTCAGTGGGAAAGCACAAAACCAAACCCAAATACAAAGGCCTTTTTGGGGGAGTGCAAGAGCAGGGATCTTGAAGAGCACTGACCTGAATTTGGGGGGAAAACTGATATATGGATGGCACTGAGGCAGAGGGAAAGGTTTGGGATGTTTCACTGTGACATCTGCTCATTTCCACGCTGCCCTGGGTGAGTCCTGCAGCCTTTGGACCAGACACAGGGCATTAACACCAGTATCCCATACTGTGCACAAGCAGATTCACCTCCCCTTCCCAGGCAGTGAAGGACAGGCAAGAAAGTGCCCTGGCAAGCTCTGCAAGACAGTTATTTTCAGTAGTAAGAGGACCTTTGTCAGCCGGAGTGAAAGCAGAACCAAGCTCTTCCCTTTTAACGACTCCCTTCCCTCACTACTAAATCCATTTGCCAGGATACTTATGGTTGTAAAACATCATTGAACGCTATGGAGCTACAGCGGGACGTTAGTTACTGTCACCTCTAGCGCTGCCCTTGGGAAGCACAGAATCGGCTCTCACATTGGGTCAGGGGCAGCAGAGGTGGGAAGCCATCCCTTTGGCACGGAGTAGCTGGAGTGTGGGGAAAAGCCCGGCTGAAGCATCTGCATTCAGTCCTGGTGGCTGCAGGAAGTGCTTTTCCCCAGTGCAAACAATTGGTGTCCTTTGAACCGCTGTTGCTGCTGCTGCTGGCAAATAAAGTAATACTGGAGCTGTGGCTCCACTGGGGCTGAAGCAGAAGGTACCGCTCCACACTGAGATACAGGGATTTACTCATGTTTCTTGGCATATTCCTCTTTCTTGCATCCAAATCCTGCCTTACAGCTGACATTGCAGACTTCTTGCTGATCGCAGCATCATTTGCTTCTTAATTATGTGCTAAGTAAGTCATTTAGTCTTTAACACACCATTTTGAGAGGACTCCACCAGCGAAGCTGTTTCAGAAATATCCACTGTAGGAAATGCAGTGGGAAGTATAAACACTTTAACTGAGCTAACCACGGCATGGGAAGGAATTGCTGTTGCAAAGCAGAGGGGAACCTCTCTAAAAGCGTAGTTTAAAAAGAGCCCATCTATTGCCATACCAAGCAGTCAAAGCTGCTTGCCATCTCTATTCTGGGACTTGCAGCTTGCAATGTGTGGTCCAACCATCATCTTAACCCTGCCCTGTCCACTTTTGCACTGCCAGCTATCCCTGCTCCTGGCCAGTCTCAGGCTACCACATCCCATTGCTCTTAAGGGTCATGTTCAGTCACAGGTCTGAAAACAATACAGACCTTCAGCCAGCAGAGCCAGATACTGGCTCAGTGGTGCCGTTTGCTTAAGCTTCTCCTTCCCTTGACCTCTTTCTGTGCTCCTAGACTGTCATTGCAGCTTTTTACTCTAACTTGAGATTTTCCTGTTTATAGATTTGCACCGGAAAGAGGGGAAACTGTGATGAGAAAAGTTCAGGGCAGAAGATAGGGTTTCTTGTTGAATAGCTTAGCGTCTGCATTGCCGCATAGCAGCCTATCTCCTTTTTGGATCGGTGCTTTCCAGTTCCCAAACCACCTGAATGCCACCCATAATTGCTCCCCACACTGAGCGGGCTGGAAGGAGTATTTCACTAAATGAAGGCCTCTGTGTGCTCTCTGTGTTTCTGTCTGCTCAGTAGTTTCCAATTGTTTCAGCTTGTGACCTTCTAGTGTTTTCCACTGAGAGTGCAGACCTCTGGCTGTACTCGTAATGCATATAACACCTTTTCTCAGTCTATTGCAGTGTAGCATTAGGCCAGGGATCCCCAAGGGCTTGTGGACCACAGCCAGATGTCCCTGAGCAGAGGTTTGCACCGCTGCCCTGCACCCTTCTTTGATCTAGGCTAACGATGGATGGCTTCGGCACAGCATCTCGGTACAGAAACACCCAACCACAGCCCAGCCTGCTGCCTTATTTCTTTGTTTCTTCATTTATTTTTATTTTAACCAGTTTGAGCTTAAATTAAAACGCAGATTGCTGTTGGTCCTCTCTTCCTAATGAGTATTTAAATGGGAGGAAAACACTCGAGAGACCTTCTGCCTTTGGTCTGTAGCAGAGAATTCAAGCATAAAATGCCTGTGTGTCTTCGTCTTTTGGCAAGTCTCATATTCTATTTTCTCGAGCACGTTGTGCTGTGAACAACACACCTAATGAAGACTTTGGGGGTTTTTAGCACATGGCTCTCCTTCACCCCACTGCAGATGATTTGCCAGTATTTATTAATGACTGAACTTACTACCTCTCCCTAAGCAGAGGTACTAATAAAGCTTCCCTGTTATCTAGTGCCTGCTGCCTATTCTCATGGAACTCCTAGAAATTATTATATTTGAGACCTTCAACCCCATGTGAGCAGTTCCAAACCTTGCTAGCGAAGGGGCAGTTCGAGCACGATGATCACATAACCATCACTGGTTTAGAAACGAGGTTGGTTATAGTGTGACTTACAGGCAAATGTATATGAGGCAGCACATCTGAAGGAAAACACATCATCGCTTGTGAACTTAATCACCACTGAATCAGGGCAGAGCTGTTCCTACTGCACCTGATTTGTGGAGGGACTGAACATGTCATACCAAGCTGGGGGAAAGCTGGAGTTTAGCTTAACGTTACGGCAGTCTGTGCTCCAGACTCATCTCAAAGATGTGCCCGTCTAACGTAGCCACAAAAAAGAGCTCCGCAGCATCTCCAGGGGCTCAACTGGAGCAAAGCGGACCACTGAGAAATATATTAAAAGATCAGGGCCCAGATGGATGTGCAGATGGAGCCACAGGAACTCCAAAAATCACAGGGGATGTCCAAAGGCAAACATAACCAGACACCCACAAGTCTACTGCCAGTAATGGAAACAATAGTAATGGAAAACATAGTATGTGTTTAGATTGCTAAATAGCTGGATGGTGGAAATACGATTACTTAATTTCACTGGGGTCTTAAACTATAAAACACTGAGACCTTATTGAGCATTACAAATTCTGTATTAGTCTTCTTAATGTACTCTTTCTCCCACTACAAAGAAGAGCTTTTTAATATCTCCCTGTACATTTAGTGAGGGAGTTTCAGGTACTGGGTTTTGGAGGGCCAATATGCACAGGCTTGGATAAAAAGGTGCCCAGCAGCCACATTGTGCTACATCTGCACTAGCCCATGGCATCTCATGCACCCAAGGGTGCTCTTTGTGTCAGCACTAGAATGTCTCAAGAGCACTGCTGTATGAGACTCAAGTGTCAGGACTTCAGGATGATGAGGCAGACCTCAAGGCCAGTGTCCTGGCATTACAGCCATACTTTTACAGCTGTAAAAACATGAGTCGGGCCCCAAAATCAGGTACATCTTTGATTTAACCTGTGCCTATACAACAGTCTGTACGACTAACAAACCACTCTGCCCTATCCATAGGTTTAAAACCTTGTAAACTGCACTATGCGTGCAGGTTTGGTGAGAGTTTTAGCCAACATCCAGTCAAAAGCCTTCCACTAACTGCCCTGAGCTTTGCGTTATGTCCTGATCAACTGATTCATTTGAGCAGCAGGTCCCCATCCTGCAGTCTCAAATACCTTGCTCCTCAGCATGCCAGCTCTTCATTAGGTTGGGCTGCACCTTTGGATGCAAGCCATCATCCAAAGCACTGCACTTCATTCCATTTTCCACGTTTAACAAGGATACGGTTAAAATGGCAGAACAAATTGCACAGAGCCAAACCTCCATCGAGCTGATTTCCAGAGGAATGATAACAACAATAACTGCAACAGCGAGTTCATGCTCACAGCTCTCATTCACACCTGGAGCTCCCTTCCTTCTTGGAATGAAATGCATTTTGAACAAAGGGACCAAGATAATGCGCTAAAACATCAACAACAGGCAGATAGAGGCAAAGCAAATGAAAGACACATGTAGGAAGGAAAGTGGGAGCTTTCTGCTTTGATTTGCACAGGTCCCATATCTTTATTGTCCTAAGGAGCATCAGTTTGTTGTCCCAACAGTATCAGATCTCCAGTCCTTATGTGTGACTTTGTGTGACTTACGATTCACGTTTTCTTTCTTCATATGAAAGCCATTGGTTTTAATTATAACATGTTGGATACCCAACCCCAACTAGCAGTATGTGGCTGAATTATTTGAACAGCAGTGCAGTAGGGCCCTTTTTCTTTCCAGAGATCTCTGCAGCTGTTTGTCTTGGCAAGAACAGGTCTGTCCCAAGCTCCATCCTGTGCAAAGTCCTTTCCACCCACTCAAGCAAGGCTTTCATGAGCATTCACCTCATTTTTAATGGAAGCATTATTATTTTCTGTTTTGCACTGGCAAAAATAATTCTCACAAGGGGAAGAGACAGAAACTCACACCTACCCATCTTCCTTGAACAAACTCTCTTCATCCAAACTGTAGGAAGTAAGCAAATTCAAGGAATTTGCCAACAATTGTTTTTCTCTTAGCAGTGATTGAGACCAAAAGTAGACACAGAGCCTTGTGATATCATCTCTCAACCAGAAGGATCCTCTTGAAGACACATTAGTTCAGATAATATTTGCACTGCAAACACAATGGTGGTGGTTGTGTGGTTATGTGCTGGACAATGCTGTTTGTGTTCCC